ATGATATTACTCTAAAAGTGTTTAAAAAGCAGAACTGGAAATTAAATGACAAGTTTTCATTCAATCTGTCATGAATAGAGTTTTATGACAAATGTATGCATGCTGAAGGAGTATTAGGAAATGTGCCAATTATCCAAGACAAATATCAAATAGAGATATCAGTCAAATTCTCCCCAAGATATTGGAAATAAGCTCTCCAAGGGGTAATTGTTCAGATCATATACAATAAGTAAGGGCACAAATAAGCAAAATCACCTTAAAACACAGACTTGTTGGACTTGACTGTAAGTTTATTTTTATTGAAAGAATATTGCTAAGAGGTTTGGGTAGCTATGGAAACAGTGAAAGGAGCATCCAAGGGCACTTTAGTGACAGAGCCCATTCAAGTGTTGTCAAAGAGAGGAAAAGTCCAACCCAAGAGTACAGCAGAATGTCTCCACTGTATTGGAGATCAATGGGGAAAGTTGCAACCACTGGAAATTGAATATTTCTATTCTGGGGATAAAAATCATTCTGTTGTTGACATACATAAATCTAGAATAGTTAGTGCATATAACTACTTATTCTGTACTCATCAAACATCTATGTGATAATGCCTTTGATTTCTAGAGTGGTTCATCTATACATCTATACAGAAAATAAACTGACTTTGCAGTCTGGACAATACAGGTATATAAATTATAGCTCTTGGAAATGAATACATTAATATTCTGTTTGTATTCATCAGTCTTGTGACCTTGCTTAACATAAGCTCATTAATTGCTTGAGCTGCTCTCTACTCTTGTTTTTTTTTATTTTTTATTTTTTTAAAGATATGTTTATTTATGCATACAGAGCTGGGATACAGGCCAGTGGTGCAGGGGCAGTGAAAGGATTCACCAGAGACAGAGTGGGGAGCAGAACAGGCTGACTGACGAGGGGAGCAGTGGGCGGGTCAGGAGAGGTCTGCAGGGATCAAACTCATGCTGAAGTGGCTTTAGCTTCTTAGTGCTGTGCTGTACCCGCTGTGCCCCCGGGGAGGGCCTTCTTGTTTTTTTTAAGATTTTTTTTTAATTTATGCATATAAGAACTAGGGTATAGGCCAGCGGTGCAGGGATGAGAGGATTTACCAGAAACAGAGCAAGAAGCAGAACATGTGTATCTACTGAAATACACTGCTAGAGGAGCAATGGGCAAGGCAGGGGAGGTTTGTTGTGCCTTGTGGGTTAGCTCCCTGGCAGGGGATTTAACTCATGCCACAGTGGCTGACCATGGCTTGATAGAGCTGAAACTTAACCCCTTTGCCATCAAGGAGACCCCTGCTCTATACTATTAAAGTATTTCCCAGATCCGAGAAAGATGTGGAAAATTCACCAGAGTAATATGTCCCTGTTTTTATTTTTAAAGTTTTATTTATTTATGCATACAGAACTGGGGTACATGCCAAAGTTGCAGGGGCAGTGAGAAGATTCACCAGAGACAGAGGGGGGAGAACAGGCAGATCCACAAAGTACACTGCTGCAGTGGCTGAGATGGGTGACCACATGCCATGTGGTCACCTCCGGGGCCAGGGATTGAACTCACACTGAAGCCGTTGTGGCTAGCTTGCAGTGCTGCATCCTAACTCGCTGTGCCACCAGGGAGGGCCCATGTGTCCCTGTTTTATGGACATTCAGCATGTATTCCCCTCACAGTGATTCTGTATTAGCCAAACTTGCCATTCCAAAAGACCATTATGGGGCCTCCCTGGTGACACAAGGGATTAAGTCTCAGCACTTTGAAGCAGCCAAGCAGCCACTACAGCACAAGTTTAATCTGGGTCAGGGAGCTAATCATATGGCAGCATCAGACCTCTTTTGATTAGCCCACTGCTCCTCTCAGCAATGTATTTCAATCAGCCTGTTCTGCTCCCTACTCTCTCTCTGGTGAATTCTCTCATCATCCCCTCAACTCTCACACACACACACACCTCTGGCCTCCAGCCCAGCTCCTGTATGCACAATATATAAAACAATTTTTTTAAGATTTATTTATTTAAGCATACAGAACTGGGGTACAGGCCAGAGGTACAGGTGCAGTGAAAGAATTCACCGGAGACAGAGTGGGGAGCAGAACAGGCCCACTGATGAAGTACACTGCTGAGGGGAGCAGTGGGCGGGTCAGGAGAGGTCTGCCGCGCCATGTGGGTCACCTCAGAGCGGGGATAGAACTCATGCTGAAGTGTCTTCAGCTTCTCAGTGCTGTGCTTTAACCTGCTGCGCCACCAGGGAGGGACCAAATTTTTTTTTTAACAACAAAAAAAAGACCATTAATATCCACAGGGGATTCCAATTCTACTCTGTTACTCACACTAGGTTGACTTTTTCATGCTCTGAGATAACTTTTGAATCTTCTTTTCCTCAACTCTCTGAGCAGAATACCTTGTGCCTACTTCAGTGAGAAACCAAAAGCCTTGTAGTCCCATCATCAATTCATTAATCAGTTGCTCCTATTTGTTTCTTTAAAGTGAATCCTCAGTCAGTGCTCAGAATCCACCCCTTCACACCTTCTAGATCTCCTTATCTCAGTTTTTCCTCTCTGCTACGTAATTGCTCCCCTCCTCTCTCTGGAGCACTCTCAACATCTTACAAATAGAATCTACTGTCTCCAATATTTTATAATGTATTTCTTAATGCTACATTCCCTTCAGTTTCTAACAATTTTTTCTGTCCTGACAGGGTCCTTGTTCTGCAAAGAACTGTTTATCTGAAATCTCTTTCTCAACATCTATCTCCTTTTTAGTTCACTGCCTTTCTGAAGTCACTATCCACCAAAACTTCTTGTAAAAGATACCTCCTTGTTGCCAAATACAAAGACCACTCAACCTCCCAAGCAGCTGATTACTCACTATTTCTTGTAATACTCTCCTCTCTTGGTTTTTATGACAGCATCTTCTTCCGGTTTTCCAGTTCTCTGGCTTCTCTTCAGTATGCTTTGCTATGCTTTGCTATGCTTCTCTTCACTATGCTTTGTCTACTCCCACTGTTGTTCCTTAAAACTGGCCTTTCCCCTTCCCTTCTTTCTTTACTCCCTTTCTAAATGATCTTAGTGCTTTCACATAGGTCTATAAACTCCCCCCTCTGAGCTCTTGATGTGTGTATCAACTACATACTTGATCAACAAGTACACATTACATGACTATCTCAAAATTAGCAAGTCCAAAATTTAATTTTTCCACTGTTTTTGTTGCTCAGCCAATCAAGCTGTTTTCCTTCTATTCCTCATCTCCATCATCTCTAGCATTCACCAGCTGTTCAATAAGTATTGATTCTTCTCTTTTCTTCTCACCTTTCCCCCATTTAGAAGTGATTTCTCCCACAAACAAGTATATTCTAAATAGGTAAGCTATGGAAATAATCCAAATGCCCAAACCCAGATGACTGGATCAAGAAGATGTGGTATAGATCTATAATTGGAATATTACTCTTCAATCAAAAAAGATAAACTCATGCCATTCACAGCAACATGAATGGAGCTGGAAGGGATCATGCTCAGTAAAATAAGCCAGAAAGAAAAAGAAAAATACTGGATGGTTTCACTCTTAGGAGAAATGTAGAGAATCCAAAAAAGGGATCAGAAATATATATATATATATATATATATATATATATATATATATATATATATATGTGTGTGTGTGTATGTGTACATATATATATATATATATTATAATAAAGTAAATACCAAAATCAACAGGCAACCCTAAATCAGAGACATTCTGCAGGAATGGAGAGGGAAGTAGGACCAAAATAGGGATGGGAAGAGCACAAGAGATTACGATGATGGTACAAGGGTGAAACAGTGGTAGGAATTTCTTTTTTTTTTTTCCTAAGATATATTTATTTATGCATACAGAACTGGGGTACAGGCCAGAGGTGCAGGGGCGGTGAGAGGATTCACCCGAGACAAAGTGGAGAACAGAACAGGCAGATCAACGAAGTACACTGCTGAGGGGAGCAGCGGGCAGGTCAGAAGTCTGCTGCACCATGTGGTCACCTCCCGGGGCAGGGATTGGACACATGTTGAAGTGGCTTTAGCTTCTTAGGGCTGTGCTTTAACCCTCTGCACCACCAGGAAGAGCCCCCCCCCCCAGGCTCTTTTTCTTATTTAACATTTTTTAACCTTATTTTTAAGTATTTATTTATGCATACAGAACTGGAATACAGGCTAGAGGTGCAGAGGCAGTGAGAGGATAGAAAGGCATAAAAATGTTTTTTTGAATTCTGATTACACTAAGAAAACTGCTCTTACTGTCTTTACCATTATTAACATTTCAGAGTATATTTGGTCATTTATTACAAATACAAATAATAATAATTATTATGGTATTAGCCATATTAAGGCATAAAATTTTCCCCAGTCGTTAATATTCTGAATTTATAAATACATATAGTATTGTATGTTTATCCTATACAATATTATATATTTATTATATTATCTATAAATGACTCATGTATGTCTCATATATATTCTGAATTTAATGGATTCAAAATATTCTGTACTATGTATATATCATATGGTCTTTACCTATATCTTTATCAATGGACATATTTCGGTGTTGGTATTATCCTGTGTGTATATATACTTCTAGAAAATAACAAAAGATATTGCCAAAATATCAAAATGAAAGATTAAGCATACTTTATTTGGATACATACTATTAAGTTGCTGGTCGAATCAACCCACAAACTTCCACTATATACATCAGGCTTCTCTTTCTTGATGCAGATCCGGATATTCAAGTCTCAGGAAATGAGAGGGTTCAAGCTCAATCTTTACCCAGCCGCGGGAAGTGTGATGGCAGGAACTCCCTCCTTCCAGTAGGGTGCGCTGTCTCCTTCCGCCGGAGTTGAGCCGCCACGGAGGCGTCACGTGATCTGCGCCGGGGGGCGGTGCTGGGGGGGAAATCAGCCTTACGTACGCCGCCGCTTGACGTAGTACGTAGGGGCTGGCTAGCCGCCATCTTGCTTCTTTTTCTTGCTTCTCCCTCTCGGGAAGCAGTGAAAGTGCTTTGGCGGTTTGTCCATCTGCAGCTTTGGGTTTCCAGTCCCGTGGCCCTCCCAGCCACCCCTTCCCCGGAATCCCCTCCCCGACCCCTTGCTCAAAGCCCGGCAGAGACTCTCGGAGTGCGCCAACACACTCAGCTTGCCACTCAACCTGGCCGGTAAGGAAAGCGAGGGCGTCGGAGCTGCGATCAAAGCGGGCCCCATCCGGGAGGGCTGGTATGGGGCGTCCAGGGGCCTGGGAGTACTCCTGAACCACAGCCCCCGACTCCTCCTCGGTCCGTACGGACAGGGCCTTGGGGCCGCCAGTTTCCTTCTCCTGCGTGACCACCATCTCTGGGGAGTCTCGGCCTCCTGCGCGAGGAGCGGGAAACCGAAGTCAGACCCGCCCCATGTGGTCTGCAGCGGGAGTTCCGGACCGCGGGTCGTTCTCCCACCCTGTTCCCATCCCTGGTCTTGCGGGGATCGCGCGCACTGCCTGCTTAGCTAGGGGGGGTTTCCGGCCAGCCAGACGGAGGGGCGCCCGGAACCTTTCTAGCTTGGGGGATGAGTTTCCCAAACAACTCAAGGACTCATCTAAGGCCTTCACTGCCTGTCCTTTTCCCCTGTGTCGTGAGGATAGGATTTGCAGTAAGTATTATTGTATGGGAGAGACTGGGTTAAAACCGTAATCAGAAAGAGACTCTTTGGGGAATCAGACCAACCCTACTTCCTCCTGGGATGTGATGTTCTGCCCCAGAATCCAGAGGGAGGGTTCGGGCGGCCTTCGCTCTTTAGGCCTCTCCATCCCCTAACCTGCGCGGTGAATTCCACTCTGCAGCTCCCTTCTTTTAAGATAGCATCAGTATTAATTGGCTTTACGGTAAAGGCCTCGCTGTAGAACTTGAAGAAAAGGGCACGGGACCAATGAGAACACTGATAAATTCTCCCTTTGCCGAGAGGAGTGCATCTAATTCCTCTAAAGGGGTGTATATTTATGTTGACTTAATTTTAAATTTTTTTGAGGTTTCCGACTTGCCTGATGTTAGCTGGCTTCTAAAGCTACCCGGATTTCCGCATTGGCCGATCTTCAGTTTTAGATTCATAGATTCCTACCTACCTCACTAGGGTAGCGTACAGTAGGAGGCTGTGCTCTTAAGATTTGCATTTGGAATGTACCGGGAGAATCACCATTTATTTTTGATGAGTTGCTTGGATAGCTTTACTCCCGCAAATAAAAATGATGAGGGGATACTTAACGCTCCCATGAAGCCCAATTCCAGCATTTTTAAACGCAGAATTAGTCTTCTCTGTTGATAATTAAGATGCTGCTCCGACTGGAGCCATTTTTAGGTGTGTGTCACACATGCACTGCAGCATCTTTGATTCACCTCAAATTCACTGGTTTCCCCCTAGAAAAATAAGAAATAGGTTGAATTTGAATTTTATCTTTAGCACATAGTGAAATAGTACTTCTTTCCTGTAGCAGAATTTTCACAATGTAGGCTTCTTACTTTAATCTTTATATTTTGGTCTGGCCAGTTTATGCATATAATTATTATTCCTCCACCATTAATCCTAAACAAACCTTTCAGGGAAGTGCTATTATCACCCCTTTTACAGATGAGGAAATGAAATCACAGATTAAAATAATTTCATCAAGGTCACATAGCTGTTATTGGTGGTGCTTTACAGATTCAGAACCAGCTGTGTAAACCCAAAGGGGAATGCCATAAACCATAAACTGCTCCCTCCCTGTTAGTTGTAATTTTATGAACTGTAACAAGTAAATAAAATAATCTGTTAATCTGATTTTTTTTTTCTTCCCCTAGACTTCAGAGTAGTAACATTGTTGCCTGCGAAGGTTAAGGTGTTGCAAGGTATAAAATAAGGGTTATTCACCTACTTTACAGCTACTTCAGGGATGGCATAAAAGCTAATTTTTTACCCTCTTCTATTAAAGGCCAGTTGAGTAAAACTAGCTACAGTATGACAGATATGAAACAAAGTTTTTGAGACTTGGTCTATATTATTGGCCTCATCTGTAAAATGGAGGTGATGATAAATAACACCTCCCTCCCTCAAAGCTTGTGTGCTATTGACAAAGATGTATGTAAGGGCTAATTTGTAAAGAACTAATTACTGTGCTCAGTAGTGAAGAATGGAAGAATGTTCGTAGGGAAAAAAATCCTTTTGCTAGAAGTAAGCAAGTTTGTTTTCAGAATGGAGTATATTTCCCTTGGAAACTTAGTTTTGTTTTTGTTTTTTTAAGGGAGGGAGAGGGACTTTAGATATAATATCTTTTTATATTTATATACTACATATAATGCTTTTTTTTTTTTTTTTTTTTGTTGTTGTTCATCCTCTATAGTATTTACCTATTGTGCATACATAACTGGAAATAACAGGTTCTGGCTCATTTTAGTTTTGGTATTTCCCTACCCCCCATCCTACCCCACACATTGAATAATGTATTATGCCCTTCTCTCCTCTTGAGTATTTTCCTCTGTCCTATAAACATTTCTCTTTGTAAGTCAATTGATTAACTTGGTTTTGGATGCTGTTTAATGCCATATTTGTGTAAGACAAGGATTGATCATTGATGAAATATTATACAAGTTGATACAGAACCCCACTCTCACAGTGAGGGAGATCCAAAATGTATAAGGTGTGTCTGAGTTACACTCACCTTTTTTTTTTTTTTTTTTTGGTAAAATTAAACCTGTCACCATAGGGGTAACACAATGAAAGCTTATCTCAGTCTGTTTTGACTGTTGGTTAGAAGTTCTGAGAATAAGATAGTTTTCTGAGTAATATTGTAATATTTTAAGTTTCTCGGGCTTCCCTGGTGGCGCAGGGGTCAAAGACTCAGTGCTACCAAGCTATAACTTATCAGGGAGCAAAACTACACAAGGCACAGCAGACCTCTGGTGTCTCTCCTGCTGCTCCCTACTCTGTCTCTGGTGAATCCTCTCATCCCCTGCACCTCTGGTCTACACCCCAGTTTTGTATAGATAAACAAACCTTTTTAATAATTTAAGTTTCTCAGCAATATCCTTGATATACATCAATCAGAACATCTTTACAAAAATATTCTATAGAACATAGTAAGTTGCTGGCTTTTCCCTCTCTCCAGAAAGGCAAAAATGTCAACTGGCCTTTTTTTTACCAGTTATATTTCTAGTCATTATTTTGCTCTAGAATAACATAATGCCAGTTGTGTATTTGGTCCTTAGTGTACACATATTTGCTAGCTAATGAAATCAATTAGGATCTCTTACTTCAGCAGTTTTCTAGTTGACCAAAACTTTATGTGATTTACATCTGCCTGGACACTGAACACAATGTAACTATAAGATCATTAATATAAAGAAAGATTCTCACCCCTGTTGGTACTGCTGGGTGTTCTAATAAAGGCGGATGGATTATAATTTGCATTTGTGGAGCACATAGAGTATAAAAGATACTATTAAGTATTACTTACCTATTACCTAGTAATTTTCTATTACCTGTTTTCTATTCTTACTCTGTTCTCAATTCCTAGAATATTTCCTTGTCCTCATCACTTTGGTAGTTAGGCATATCCTCTAGGTTTTTTCTATCCTCTAGAATTTATTATATATTATTGTATGCATAAGATTAGGAAACACAGAAGACTAAATACAGAACTAAGGTTAGGCATATCCCCTAGGCTTTTTCTATCCTCTAGAATTTATTATACATTATTGTATGAATAAGATTAGGAAACACAAAAGACTAAACCCAAAACTAAGGTGCAACAGACAAGTATTTCAGAGGACCAAGAGTATTGTCAGTTTTTTCCGTCTGTATTTACTCATTAGAGTAGTATCAGATACTTTAAAAATAGTTTGTTTATGTAATGTGTATTGTGAGATAAGCATCATATTTCCCAGCCTAATTTTTAGGTCTATTCAACAAGCATCAAAGAATCTTTTAATTTTATAAGGCTCAATGAATTAAGAGTATGTGTTTTGATTCCCAATGCCAAGATGTTCACAATCATAAAGACTAGTACTAAGTTATAATCTTTGGATTCATGCCAAAAGAGAAAAATAAAGGTATTAAACAAGGTAAGGAAAGTCTGGTACAGGAAATTCATGTATGGAAAATTATGGTGTAGATCAAATGCTCACTTTAGCACTTGATCTACACCATATAAGTGACTGGAGATCAATTGTAGTTAATGTATTACTCATCTATCATCATTATTGTTGTTAATATTCATTGAGCATTTGCTGTGCTGGACACTGAGATATGAACATTTTGTGAATTATTTCTTTTAAATCATATAGAATAGTGGATTATTTACTACCATTTCACAACTAGAAAGCTGAGATTTAAGTAACTTAAGAATTATTTAGCTAGTAAGTGGAATTTGAATACTCTATCACAAGTGGGATATACTATCCCACTTGTATTTTTCAAACTTCAGTCATTTGTTATTTTGCCTTATATTCAAGCCAACTTGAATGTTAGTATTTTCCTTAAATTTAACTCTTTTAGTTAAGTAAACTTAAAAGAAATTTACATGGTTATTTGGTGTTACAGGATTCCCCCCTCTACATCCATTTCTCCCTCTAAATAAGCCTATAATTTTAAATATTTTTTAAAGATTTATTTATTTGTTTATTTATGCATACAGAACTGGGGTACAGGCTAGAGTACCCCAGGGGTGGTGAGAGGATTCACCAGAGACAGAGTGGGGACTAGAACAGGCAGATTGATGGAAATAACACTGCTGAGGGGAGCAGTGAGCGAGACAGGAGAGGTCTGACATGACATGTAGATCACCTCCGGGGTGGGGATCAAACTCATGCTGAAGTGGCCACTTTAACCTGCTGTGCCACCAGGGAGGTCCTAATTTTAAATATTCTAATGGAATATGTTAAAATCATTCACTGTACCATTGGTGGTAGTCTTCTGTATGCCACCATTTGGGATAATAGATAGGATTATGTGATAATTGCAACTAATGAGGACCAGAAGTAGAAAAGCTGAAGGTGGAAATACCATCAAATAAGAAATGGCAGCATTACTGGAGTAGAATTATAAATTAGAGTCCTAGCAACATAACTGGGAACAGCCATGTCCATAATAAACTGCAAAGTGAATGGGTATATATAGATAAGGAAAGTAGCAGGATATCTGTGACAGGCTATGG